GTCTTCAATGACAGGTTTTAGTGCAGTGGTTTTCAGTAGGAATCCCACTCCCCAAGCTTCTACCCTTCACACCTCCCATCCCCCAGTGCCCTCCGCTTTCTGTTTGGAAAGGTGTGTGCGCATCCTCATTGCCACAACCAGCATCTGACAGGTGAAGTGACAGGTGGGCCAGGGATGCCAGGGGCTCAGGACAGGAAGTGGAGTCTAACTCACCAAAGAGCATTCCACCCAAAAGGCCAGCAGGACCCCCACCTGGAGAAACACTAGTGGCTCCTAGACTCTTTTCTCTAGTTAAATTCAAACCTAACTTTTCACAAAATTGATAGACTACTTCATAATGTCAGCATTTGCCAAAGATCATCCCGTGTACATTGCAGAGTGTGGACCAAGCTGGAAAATCTCCACACAGATAGTCTGACGTGCTGTGCCGTTTCCCTCTTGCTCTATGTATGCATTTTCCTTAAGTTAATATAGCAGGTGTATTCCAAATCTGTCCCCTAAGAGTTCTCCTGTTCCATTGATTACTGCCAAAAATTTAAGGTCTGTTCCATTTTAAGGCACCTGAACTTGTTAAATGTATAAAGATCATATTTGATAATTAAGAAACCCAACCAAATCATATATGTAAAAGAAGTGTATTTTATTAGAAATAACTAATGCATAGGAAATTCAGATATTAATAAGGAGTGTTCAAAATAATATTATAAAACTAGAAACATGAAAAAAGATCATGCAGGTGGGTATGATTACTGAGATAATTAATACAAATTCATCAAAATTAATCTATAACAAAATGTATATACACACTTACATTCATTATATCAGAGTCATATATAAAAATAGGACATAGATACTGTAAATGAAAAGGAGAGAGTGTGTGAGAAACAAAGAAAGGTGAACACATGGTAGCCCCCCCTTACTGGTGGTTTCACATTCCCAGGTTTCAGTTACCTTTGGTTATCCTCGGTCAACTGCAGCTCGAAAATATTAAATGGAAAGCCCCAGAAATAAACAATTCTTAAGTTTTAAATTTCAAGCCATTCTGAGGAGGGTTTTGAAATCTCCCACCATCCCACTGCAGTCTGTCCGCCCAGGATGCAGATCATCCCTTTGTCTGGTGTATGCGCTCTGCGTCCGCTACCTGCCCGGGAGTCACCAAGTAGCTGCCTCGGTTATCAGATCGACTCCTGGGATATGACAGGGCTCGTGTTCGAGTAACTCGTTTATTACAGTGCATTATAGTTGTTCTATGTTATTGTTAGTTACTGTTGTTAATCTCTTACTGTGCCTAGTTTATAAATTAAACTCTATTGTAGGTATGTCTATAGAGAAAAATATATGCAGAGTTTGGTACTAGCTGCAGTTTCAGACGTCTGCTGTGGGTCTTGAAACATCCCCTCTGGATAAGGGGGAACTGCTGTACCTTTTTCAGTCCGGCCTTCTATATCTCCAACTGAGGCCAGCATCATTAACACTGAGAAAGGGTAAAACAAATCAGTAATTACAGTCGTCCCTTGGTATCCACAGGGAATTGGTTCCAGGACCCTCTACAGATACCAAAATCTACAGGTACTCAAGTCCCTTATATAAAATGGCATAGTATTTGTATCTAACTTACACACATCCTCCCGTATGCTTTAAATCTCATTCTTCAAGTGTATACTTACCTTGTATTTACCTAAGGGGAAAAATAATTATTACTGCTTTTGAAATAATAGGTTGTTTAAATTTTAATAATTCTTAATAACGTTTCTATAAATTAAAACTACACAGTGAAGAGGTTTTTAAGTTACTTTGATAAGAAAAAGTCAAGTTCAATATTACGTTTCCTGAAATAACATGGACTTGTCCTTAAATATAGTTTTGGAAGCCATAACAGTCTTTTTTCTTTATCTCATAAATAACAGGAGTTTCCTATCAGCTCTCCTTCCTCCTCTGCCTTTTTTTCCTCTTTCACTTCATGCCAATCACAGGTGGATGCTCAGTATCACCCCACAGCACAAGATAAATAAGCTTGGAAGGTCTCCTAGCAACATATTGTTCTGGGAACCTGCTCTGTTTCCCTGAACAAGATGAAGCCAAACATCCTGGAATCTCAGCCAGATGGGAAAGGATTAGCTTACTGAGGGGCGTTTAATGCATTTTATAAAATTTCACTTTGAAGTGAACCTCCTAACATAAGTAACAAGATTGACTTTTAAAAGGACACTCTTTCACATGTATAAAGAAAAAAACCCTCAGTAATAGTTGCAATTTAAAAAAATACAGTTTTGGAAGAAATTCTCTAGGGACAAGCTTGCAATATATAATTCAGTCATTGGTGCATGGGTCCATTTTAAAACCATGTAGAAATACATCCACGTAGGACTGACCTTTAGCCTGGTACCCACTGGTACCAGTATTCAGCTGTAAAAAATAGTAAAGTATTGGACCTCCTCCTCATCTTGTGGGTAAGTGGCTGCCGGCATGGGCTCCCTGTCCCTTCTCGCCTGATCCTCTCCTCCTAGGGCTATGTGTGGAACTCTGAGACATCTTCCCTTCTCTCCTCTGCTCCAGAGCCACTTCAGTGCTACTGACTGGCCACTCCATCCAGAGAGTCTGTTTTGGCTTTCAGAGTGTATGATTAATGCACACAGAGAAGAGAAAACTAGAGGAAATTGCCCCTCTCAGAGTCAGGAAAAACAATATCGTTGTTGCTGTTTTGTCAGCACATGATCATGTGTATTTCCCTTCTTGTCTATCGATGACCTTGGGGCCACACTCTGCAGGTGGTGTTTCCCTCGCTCTTGCACTCTCGTTGGTCCCAGTGTACTGTTGAAGGTCTCTGGAGATGGAGTAATGAAGGATTTGTTTCTCCTGGCAATATTCAGCACTGGTTTTGCAATTCAGTTACACGCTGGAAAGTGTCCTTCCATCTTGTCTTGACCGGGTAGGCATTCCTCCGTGAGCCAGATGAATGTTGTCCTCACGTGGTTGTTGAATGATTTGCACTCTGTGAGCTGTGTGAAACCGCCCAGTTGTGGTGAGAAGCAGATCATTCCAGTCCATCGGGGTTCTCCTGGCGGGGAAGGGTGGGGGGGACAGAGTGATTAGAATAAGTGGGTGGCGGGGGGACGACACCTGATGTCTTTGCTTTTTATTTAACACGTTCTCTGGCCAGATTCAAGAGAACTGAAACTATCCTCATCCCAGGAAACAAGAAGATAATTTTATATTCATTCTGGTGCTTTCACTCTTGCTCTCTCTCTC